TTTGAGGGGCTTTCCGACCCGGGGACCGTCGCTAAAGACGCTGGAGCGGGCCGTGGCGCACGTGAGGTCGCTGAGCGCGGCACCGCGGCGACGCGCCGATCGCCCCTTCCATCCAACTGTCCGAGGATGGCACCGTTACGCGCGGACAGGAACGCCGGCAACAAGTTGTTGGGAGGGACGTCCCCGGACGACGGCAGCGAGGCAGCGGAGCCGGATTGGTTTGATAGTTTGATTCCCGTGCGCGACAGGTCATACGGTGCAGTCGCAGTACAGTAAGGGGCCGTTGTTGAAGCGAGCGCGGATTTTCAGACCCCGCTCCACGTGGCGTGAGATAGATCGAAGACGAAAACCGCGGCACAACTTAACGCATGCCTCAGCACAAAGTTCTTTTAAATTTAAATAAAATTTTTGAAAACACAACCTGAAAAAGGGTTTTTTGATTTTTGATTTTCTTGACCCAAGAAAAATTTTCTTTATTAAAAAAAAATTGGATTCAGAATTTTTTTTTCAAAAACCAAGAAAAGTTATATTTTTTATCCAATAAGTCAATTGTTTTTTCTGGGTGCACTACCATAAAAAATAAAAACGCAATCAGGAAAGTAATTGACAAGTGCAGAGAAGGTTGGTGTTCTAGTGAGTTGTTCCTTTGAGCCTTACACTCGACGGCCACCTGACAAGGCACGCCTCATCCTCGCCAATGCCTGCATGGTCATCACCAGCGAGCCGCGCTGTACCGGACTCGGTCGGCACGCGGCCTGTGATCAAGCGTCCGGCCGTCAGCGCGCACGCCGCACGGCACGCGCGTGATGCAACCGTGGCAATGACCACCAAGGAATGGTGCCTGCACTGCATGGTGCATATTCGCTGCCCGTCGCCGCCGCGTTCCGAAGACGCTCGGAAAGACGGCGAAGAGGCTCCGAAGATGCGCCGAAGATGCCCCGAAGACGCGCTGAAGATGCTCCGAGGACACGCCGGACAGGCTCGGCTTAAGGACGCGCCCTGCCCAGGACTATTCTGCGTGACCCAGATGAGGCTTCCTTTCCCTTGAGGCATGGGAACAACATTTGCCCTGCGCTCCGAAACCTGTCAGCGAGCCAAAGCCGAGGCTGAGCCGAGGAATGTCGATCACATGCGATGCTCCGGATCAATCCCTAGCTTAAGTGGCGGGAAAAAATCTTTTCTATTTTTCCAGTTTTTATTTTTGAATGTGTTTCGAACACGGATTAAATTCTTGAAATTCTTTTCGCGCAGTTAAATTGCTGCTCCATTTGTTAATCTTGGCATTCGATTTGTTTTTTACATGCAGGAAGGAACGCAGCAACACGATACTAATTGCTCGCGATTGAACTCCCCGGGCTCGTCTGCCCACTTCGTGCCCGTGCCCCCCGTTTGGTTTGGGCCGGCCGGCCAGTCGGAGTGCGGATTGCTTTTTCAGCCACACTGTGCTGTAAGACTGTAAGACATGTTACCATGTGGCGGCCTTTGGGCCGGGCCGGCCCGTCCGCGCGAACCGGCTCCTGCTAACGGCACTCCCCCCTCCCCGGGCCGCCGCTGCCATTGGCCATTGGCACTGAGCGAGTATGTCAGGTCCGGTCAGGTCCATCCTGCATCCTTTACCACGTCCCGTTCGGGAGCAGAGCCCTTTTCCTCGTTCCAGCCGCTCGGTGTTCGCCGAGTACGAACCACTTTTGTTGACATTCATCCGAGGTGCGGGAAGTCCTCGCCGCGAGGTTTAACGACACGAAAGCCTCGCCAATCGCGACCGCGAGCTTGCCGCAGCTCCATTCTCTCTGCTCATAAATAATCATTCCGCGGCAACAAATGTTAATGGTTTAAGTAGTGTCGGCGCAATAATGTTGAACGGAATTGTCCGTAATGAAGCCCCCTCACTGTAAAGTCTTGGTCGCGGCGGTATAGAAAGCGCCTAAGCTAGTGCGGTGCGCGCTCTGTGCCGGCATGGACCCGAGGCTTGGGAACTTTAGAGACCCGATGGCGCTTACACACTCACACACACGTGCACACACTCGAGCGTGTCGTTTTCCCTTGTGACGCCGACGTCGGCATTTTTACGGTGTGGCGGGGGCGGCTCGCCGTTCACATAACCCTGAGTGCACGACACCTTGTACGGGGACGCGGCACTCGCCTGGGTGGGTGCACTGCCTCCATAAACTCGGCTTCATGGAGATTTTTAAGTGCGAAAAACGAGCAAAAGGGTTTGTTTATTTTGCCGACCGGCGGCGGCGCCGATCTCGATCCGTGTGGTGCAGAGCCCTCCACGCGGAAATGCAAACTTGAATGACTGTGGGAGGAAACGGGTCACTCCCGATTGGCTGCGCCGAAGCCAACCGACGCGAGCCGAGTCGGCCGCCTAGACTCGATTTCGCATCGGAAGCAGCAGGAAGGAAAGCCACCCGTTTTCCGGCTGACTGCTGGAACTCCCGCCCGGAAAAGCGCGACCAGAAAAACCCTTTTTTTTCATGGGTAAAGAATTTTGATGCAAGAATTTTTTCATATAGTAGGTAAATCAAAAATAATTTTGCGTAAAAAAAATTTTCCCTTGATCTAAAAATGTATTTTTGTTGTTATGTGTTTGAACGTGGCAGAGGTGTTACCCCGCCAACTCTCTGGCTGCCGATTCGTCCTAAACCACTGCCGCTGTTTCTCAATCCGTGCCAGCCGACGGAGCCCTTTTGTCTCCTGTCTGCCACCGCTTGGCAAACCGCTGAATCCAGACCGACTGCTGTCGCAAAGGCCCTCTGCGGCCCTTTACCTTGCCCCTTGATGAGCCCTGGACGCGTGCTTCCCACCCAGCGCCCTCCAACGAGGCTATAAAACTGGTGCCCGCTCGTCTTTTTTCAACTGTCGCGGAACGAATTAAGACTTGAGACTCCCTTTTTTGTGTCTTGTTCGCCTTGTTGCCGGCCGGTGTGTGAAAAGCCCTGCTGGGAGTAAGGTGCCATCTTGTTTCCCGGCGGGGAAGTTCCCAGCAGCTGCAGCAGCCCTGTCCGCTCCACTCGTAGTTTATTTCCTCTTGCTTCTGCATATCAAGAGCCTTGTTTATCATGAACGTTGTTGCTCTGCTCTTGATTAAAACAACTCGGCCGGTTCATGAGGTGCCCGGTTCCGCGGCAGTCGCTCCGGGTCGTTTTCGCCTGGTTCATTAATAGGTAAGGAGGCAGATGGAGCGCTGCGGTGGCGACGGTCGCGACAGCGAAGGCGGTGAAGACGATTGAGAGAAACGTCTAATTCGGAGCACGGCCTGACCCGTTGCGACAGTCGTCCACACGACGACCACAAGGGCCGACCGACGCGGGGAGGGGCCCCAAAACCCTTCCCGGGCGACAAAAAAATAAAAGGAAGGGTGTCGCTTTCTGTCGGGTGTTACGGCGCGGCTGAGTGGAAGGAAGAGTTTGATGAAGAGATTGTCGGGACGACTTTTACTTCGGCAGCCGCGCTCCCATTTAGATAGCGCGTCCCTCTTGATCCGCCCCGCGTTCAAGTCTCCAGAAGGCACAGCAAATTTCTTTAAAGATTTTTTTCTCAAGTCTTACGAGCTTTAAGTTTATCACCTTTTGTTAGAGTCATGTACGAGCAGGTTGGGTGGATAGCAGACCGGGGGGGGGGGCATCCGGAACTTGGCCTGCGCAGTGCCCGGGCCGCCCCAGGGCGTGTCTCGGCGAGACCGGGCGCGTGGGGCGCGCAATGAGGCTCGGAGATTTCGATTTGATGTCAAGTCATGCGTGTCGGCCGGTCGGCCGGCGCCGGAATTTGGCGAGTCGGCGGGCCGGCCACGGGGGCGTGAGGGTGTAGGCCCCACTGTAGGGGCCGGCCGACCGGAAAATGTCCGGCAAATCCCGCATACTACGGCCTGGCGGCGCGTGGCGGGGGCGGGGCGGGGCGGGGCGGGGCTCGGCCAACGCGAGCATTACGCGAGGGCGGGCAGCAGGCTATGGGTCCGTGACGCCCAAGGCGACCGAATCAACCACACACCACGAAACGCCCCGCCGCTGCTTTCTTTTCATTCTCGTTCCTTTTGTTCTTGTTGTCTATTTCGGCTCGGAACGGCGCGCGCTTTGCATCGGTAGAAGTCGGACGCTTTAATTTCCCCGGCACGCCGCGCTTCATTGCGAGCACGCACACCAACACACGCACACACACACACACAGCCATGCCGAAGAATGTGGGTAGGTGTGGTGGTTCGGGGGGTCACTGCAGTCAGCGACCGCTCCGCGCCTGCGACTTGCCATACCGCATGGTCCCGCTACACACAACACCCACACACTCACACACACACACACACACACACGGCGGACACGCGCGTGTTAGCGTGATGTTCAGAATGTGCCGAGCATGCAAGACGGGCGGCGCAGGCCGGAAACAGAACGGGGTAAAGAAAAAAAAGTCTCGGCGGCGCGGGTACTCGAACCCGGCGCCACGGCGTGACCCCCTTTCCGCGAGGGGCAGCCAGGGGCAGCCAGGGGCCGGCCGGCGGGCGCGGGC